GGAATTAGGGAGCTTAGCGATTATGTAGCCCGCGACAAACTTGCCCGGTAACTCGCACTTGAGAAGCTCAAGTTCCTTAACAATGCATATTATCTCATGAGCCTGCTCCAATACAGGACGGTTTTCAACCATCTTGTAATCGTGGAACTGCTCTATAATATACATCTCGCTCCCTGCATCGGCGGCCCCGAATTTAGATTCGAGCGCCTCCCACAAGTCCTTGGCGACATGCACATGTAAATATGCGTCGACCAGTTTATCTCCGATCACGCTAAGAACTGCTCCGAGAAACACAACGGTGGCCTCCTTGAACGCCTTCTCCTGTTCAGGAGCAATCGTTCCCGTGGAGACACCGGTGACCCAGAACACGTTCATAGCCGTGAGCCATAACGTGGTCTTAGTCTGCCAACGCTTGAAGTATGTATCGGTAAACTTATCCGGTTTCAGTGCAGCGGCAAAGCCACTTGCCGAGAAATTCCTACACATATTAGGTTTTTGGATTGTTGAGTAAATAGGCAATTTCTCGATTAAATTAATCCATGAGTAAATCACTAGCATGGCATTGACTAAGTTGATGACGTACTCACTCTGATCTAAATATGCACGTACTAAGCAAACAGTAGACAAATCTACACATACTGCTAGTACTGCTAATATGAAAATAATCAGGAGCGGGATAAACGAGTTATACCCTCCAGTAGGCCACGCAGAGGCCGCGGCTTTGGTGGCAGCAGCGGCGTCCTCGGCGACCTTCTTGTCGGCTTCAGCTTTCTCGGCGGCGGCACGATCGGCGTCGGTGGACATGGTGATGACGAAGGCGACGCGGACGTAGAGGAAGTAGAAGATCGGAAGCGAGCAGTCGCGTAATCGCTTCCCAAAAACCTATTCGCCCCTCTCCCCGTACAGGAACCAGAAGGGCGTGGTTTCGGAGACCTGCTCTCCCGTCGACCGTGTACGTGGCGGACGGGATGGAGTCACCGGTGGCAGCAGCAGCAAAGGAACGACGGTGGGCGTGCGCGTGAGCAGATGTGATCTGTTCGTGGCGGCTAGGGTTAGGAGACACCGCATACTTATAGGCGCAGCCGCGTGGAGAGACGTGGGCTCGACCCACGTCTGAGTCCGTGACAGCCCACGATCCGACGTCTCAGATCGTGGCCCAGCTGTCAGAAAACTCTCCCTTAGTGACTGGCAAAAATAAGCGCATAGGTGTGAGCTCGGCTCGGCTCAATCCCGCAACCCGCGGCGCGTCGTGACGTGGCGAGGCGAGGCGTGGCGTGGCGAGGCGGGCGGCGGAGGAGGAGTGCGCGAGGGCCTCTTCTCTTCTCAAGCTCCAATAGCATGTAGAAGAGAAACCCTTATAAACCACTCCAACTCTCCTTCCACTTCCGGGGTGGGACTAAACTTCCCACCACACCTAGTGCCATATAACCCACATGGGCCCTTAGAGATTTTTCAGAAATTGCAATATGGGCCTAGAGCCCATCTCAGATTTCAGCAAAAGAAGGCGTCCAAATCCGCGGGCGCGACCCCGACCGCGACCCCGCAACGGCCGGCAGAAGCCACCGCGCCACCGCTTCCCCTTCCCCTTCCCCGCCGCCTTTGCCCGCCCCGCAAGCTTCCTCCTCCATCCCTCTCACCCCACCCCACGCCACCACCTCGCCAGGTCTCCCCAATCCCGCCCTCGCACGTCCAGATCTTGAGGCGGCACAGGTGAGGCAGCGCAACCCCCTCCGTCTGTGGACTGTGGCAGCGGCGGCGGCGGCGCTCGACCGGCCGGCAACGGGATGGCATACATGGACCACGCCTTCTCCATCACCGACGAGGACGACCTGGTGGGCGGCGCGGCGGGGGGCCGGCCGCGCGGCGCGCCGGTCAAGGATCAAAACTTTTGACACCCAACCATTTTGTCAATTATGCATTAAATATGGCCTAGTATTTTAGAAATTGATTTTTTCCAATTTTACAACAAATATATGGTAGGTCCTTCACAAAAAAAACTCATTTCAAGCACTCGGAAAATGAAAAATGATTTTTTTGTGCAAAGAAAATGAAAACTCCCTTAGGCAACATTATTTGGAATTCCAAGATGCACCATTGTGCACAATATGAGATCATTTGAACAAACTATGCCATGAATGTGGTCATAAGATTGATCATTTGGCTTGAAAGCCATGAATCTTCACGCATGATAGCTCATTTCTAAGAACACTTTTTAAAAATAATTTCCGTATTACAAGTTTATTATTTTTCCTGGAAACTTGGTCACATATAATGACACAATGCGAAGGATTTCCAATTTTTTGATTTTTTTTTGAATTTTTTATGCCCGTTTCAAAATGCGGTCAAAATGGCGGGCTTGACCATTCCTAGCTAGTGGTTGAATCTTGGAAAATTTTAGTGGACCTGGATGCTCATATTGGCTCCTACATATTCTACGAAGATCTTTATCGGTCAAACCGCATAACAACATACGTTGTTCCCTTTGTCATCGGTATGTTACTTTCCCGAGATTCGATCGTCGGTATCTCAATACCTAGTTCAATCTCGTTACCGGCAAGTCTTTACTCGTTATGTAATGCATCATCCCGCAACTAACTCATTAGCTACATTGCTTGCAAGGCTTATAGTGATGTGCATTACCGAGAGGGCCCAGAGATACCTTTCCGACAATCGAAGTGACAAATCCTAATCTTGAAATACGCCAACTCAACATGTACTTTCGGAGACACCTGTAGAGCTCCTTTATAATCACCCAGTTACGTTGTGACGTTTGGTAGCACACAAAGTGTTCCTCCGGTAAATGGGAGTTGCATAATCTCATAGTCATAGGAACATGTATAAGTCATGAAGAAAGCAATAGCAACATACTAAACGATCAAGCGCTAAGCTAACGGAATGAGTCAAGTCAATCACATCATTCTCCTAATGATGTGATCCCGTTAATCAAATGACAACTCATGTCTATGGCTAGGAAACACAACCATCTTTGATTAACGAGCTAGTCAAGTAGAGGCATACTAGTGACACTATGTTTGTCTATGTATTCACACATGTATTATATTTCCGGTTAATACAATTCTAGCATGAATAATAAACATTTATCATTATATAAGGAAATGAATAATAACTTTATTATTGCCTCTAGGGCATATTTCCTTCAGAGGCCTCCAGTGAGCTCGGTCACCAAAGGCAGTTTCCGCTAAATGACTATGATTTTACTTCAAGTGAAAGTCTGTAAAGTTCACATGCTATGTCTTCTTGAGAATTCTAACTAGTGAAGGTTGCAAGTGCTAAGTGGCAACATGGTAAATATGCATCTACATTTCTACATTGATGAATGTGTATATGAAATGTATTTGTAATGCATATGAAATGTATGAAATGTCCTTTCTCAGACCGTGGGGGTTGCTGTGCTAGTATAGTTTCTCAGGAATTGAGCTAGCAAGCAACATTTGCTGGCTTGGGATACATGTCACCACTGACAGGTATCACAGATCCATCTATGATGACATTTTTCAAGTCGACTTATGGGCATATATTAGTCTTCCGTCCATGGTAACACTATTGATGGGCGAACGATAAGTATCCATCCGTAGAGAATGTCATCAATGACAAGCGGACGCTAAATATTTTTATTTACACTCGCATTTCACAAAATTTTGGACTCCGGTAACTCCTGAACATTGGGGATTTGCCCACGGAAAATCAAATGTACTTTTTGGCAATTTATATAAGCGAGGGATGGTAAATCTAGTTTGGAAGCATGGCAATTTCGCCCTCAGCTTACTTTTTGACAGGAAATTGCCGTATTTGTCAATTAAACATGCCATCGTCGTCTCAACTAAAATTGCAATAAAAACGCTCGATTTGCCATGGGCAGATCCCGAACTTTTGGCATTTATCATTTCCGCACTTTTAAAAAAAGTTAGGGTTTCTGCCTCCCGCCGTCGCCGCCGCAGGTCCGCCTCCTCTCCGGTGGCTCTAGGGCCATGGGGGCGCGGTGGATCTCGGCAAGGGCCGGCGGGAGGGCTCCGTTTTTAGTTGTTTCTTTCAGTTTTGCTAGGGTTTGTGTCCTGCTCAGGAAGACGAGACGACGGCGGCTCCCTGAAGATGGAATAAAGGTCTTCCCGCCTAGTCCCTGTTCCGGCGGCGCGTCTAGCACCGTTGGTGGGCGTGTGGAGGTGTGTCTCCGGCGGATCTATCTTTGGTGGATTTGCTCGGATCTCGTCGTTGTTCGTCTATATTCGCGTGCCTTCGGATTGGATCTTTCTGATCTACGTTATTCTTCATCTGCGGCGGTTGCTGTTCTGGTGCGCTGGTCCTATAAGGCCTTAGCACGACGACTTCCCGACTGTCTACTACAACAATTTGTGCCCGACTCCGGCGATGGAGGGGCGATGACAGCGGCGCGCCTTCGGCTTGCTTCAGTGCTGGTAGTCGTCGCTAGGTGGTCTATGGATCTGGATGTAATTTTTATTACTTCTGGTATTCGTTGTATTGCCATGATTGAAGATGAATAGATCGGAAATTTTCTCGCAAAAATCATTTCCGAACTTTTTTTTAGGTGTGCAACCTTTTCCGGTGGAAAAACAAAAATGATGCTATTTAGCATTTTCTAAACCCACCCTCTGTTAACGTTTTGCTCAAGTTGCTCATTCATCTGAATGAACTAGTATTCGAGTAGACCAACCGTAGGGAGAAAGCGAAGAGGAAAAAGAAGGCGTCCAAATCCGCGGGCGCGACCCCGACCGCGACCCCGCAACGGCCGGCAGAAGCCACCGCGCCACCGCTTCCCCTTCCCCTTCCCCGCCGCCTTTGCCCGCCCCGCAAGCTTCCTCCTCCATCCCTCTCACCCCACCCCACGCCACCACCTCGCCAGGTCTCCCCAATCCCGCCCTCGCACGTCCAGATCTTGAGGCGGCACAGGTGAGGCAGCGCAACCCCCTCCGTCTGTGGACTGTGGCAGCGGCGGCGGCGGCGCTCGACCGGCCGGCAGCGGGATGGCGTACGTGGACCACGCCTTCTCCATCACCGACGAGGACGACCTGGTGGGCGGCGCGGCGGGGGGCCGGCCGCGCGGCGCGCCGGTCAAGGAGATCGCCTTCGCCGCCGCGCTCCTCGCGTTCGGCGCGCTCGGCGTCGTCGCCGGGCTCGTCATGGCCGCCCACCGCGTCGGCGGCGACCGCTCCCACGGTATGACCGATATCCGTCTCTCTGTCTAGCTACGATTAGGATTTGCGGTTGCTTTGTTTGGTGATGAACTGGGGAACTCGAAGAGGGAGGGGCTCATGCCCCTGCACCCCGTTTTTTGTACTTGCATCTCAGAGGGTATTCATTTGTAATGCTGGTCTGAATAAAAACCGAAGATCCTGAAGTTTTCCATGTCTGGCTGAACTAACTGTGTGTGTCTGTTAGTTTAAGCCATTCTGCAGATAAGGTATTTGGTTATGCAGAATTGCAGATCATAGCAAACAGGGATTTGGACATCAAGTCTAATAATTTTTGAGAAAGTGGCCAAATGGACCAACTAACTGTGTTTATTTGTTAGTTTGAGCCATTCTGTAGATAAGGTGTCTGGTTATGCAGAATTGCAGATCGTAGAAAAGAGAGATTCAGACATGTATGTGCTAATAATTTTTGAGAAACTGGCCAAATGGACTAAAATCTACGAAGAAAATGAATCACTGTGTGTTGTTGTAATTTGTTAACTCCCTGGATGTCAGAGTGAACTGAGAAGAAAATCAACCAGAACTCAGGACAAGTATGTGCTGAGATACCATCAAATATCTTTCTCTTTTGTTGCCTCCACTATGTGTAGGAGTCAGGGATATCTGTTTCATAAAAGAAATCGAAGATCATACCTACAGATTATAAATGCGGAATCATGTATGATGGAATTGTTATTACAAACTTACTTCATGCTTTACTGCACTCAGTCCCAGCAGTGTGCCAAAGCCCACATGTAGCAAAGCGTCAGGAAGTTCTGAAGAGGCATTTTTGTTTGCTTCAATCCGTAGATATGTGCAAGTCCTTTTGCACAATGTTGGTAAGCCTCTGATGTATACAAGTTCAATTTGTAAGAGCATCTCCAACAGGCGCCGAACGCGCCGCGCGCTAAAAACTGATTTGGCGCGCGCCCAACGCCTGGTTTGGCGCGGCGCGTGGCGTTTGCTCCAGCAGCCGCGCTGTAAAGCCGCGCGCGCGCGCAGCTCCAGCAGGCGCGGTAAAAATACAGCGCGCGAACATATTTTTGCATAGATAAAAAAAACGATGCAAGATATTTTACATAGATAGATAGATAGTTCAACATACATAGATAGATAGTTCGACATACATAGATAGATAGCCACTACTACGGCATAGATAGATAGATAGAAACTACTCCAAGTCGCTACCATCATCATCATCATCATCATCATCCTCGTCGGTGTCGTCCGAGGTTGAGAGCCATATGTCGTCCCAACGGTCATCGTCGGCCGTGAAGAACGACCTCCCACCTGCTGAAACTATGTCGCACTGAGCGTTTGCCAATGCCTTCCGCTGATGCCGGTCAGCCCGCTCCGCACGGCGCCTTGCCGTCCTCTCCGCCCAGTAGGCGTGCTCGTCGGCGACGTCCTCCGGGTGGCGACGGCGCCACTCCGCCATGGCTCGCTCGTCCTCCTCGGCGACGAGGAGGCGGCGCTGCCGCCGAGCATGGTCGGCACGGTCGAGGTCGGTGATGAGACGCGGCGGAGGGGCGACGCGCTGCGCCTGCTCGCGCGTGAAGACGTCCCGGAAGTTCATCTGCGACCGGGGCCTGTCCAAGCGCCACGCCGCCGCGTCGTACGCGCGGGCCGCCTCCTGCGCGCTCCGGAATGTCCCGAGGCCGAGCCGCACGTCGCCGGACCGTATCTCGGCGGAGAACCAGCCGTTGGGGCGCGCGCGGACGCCGCGATAGCCCGAAGCACCTCGGCGGCGCGGCGGCATGGTGGTGCGAAAAGCTGCGAAGCGGCGAGCTTGCGAGGGGAGGGCGCGTGGCTGTGTGCGGTGCGCGTGGCGGGCGCGGCAATTTATAGGCGCGCGGTAAGCGGCGCGCCAAATCTACCGCGCCGTGTGCCGCTTTCTCCCCCCCGCGCGCAAGCGCTTCCCGCGCGCGGTAAGTTCCCGCCACCGCTGGAGCGCGCGGAATCAGCCGGCGCGCGCTAAATCGCAATTTTACCGCGCGGGCGCGCCTTTTGCCGCGCCTGTTGGAGATGCTCTAAGAAAGGGGCCATAGCTTTCAAACTTCGGAACCGTTGATGCAGTATGAACATAATTTCAGGGCTAATGAAGAGCTGTTAACCTTTTTCAAAGTACTGATGCACTACTGTTTTGTTCCGAGTAGCATTTGTGTTTTGCATTATCAGTAAATGGCGAAATCTCTCAGTATTTTCCGCTTTTCCTGATGTACGTCTCTGTTTTTCTGGATACAGGGATTTTCTTTACAGTGTTGGGCGTAGTGATGTTCATCCCTGGATTCTACTACACGAGAATAGCGTATTATGCTTACAAAGGGTACCAGGGCTTCTCTTTTGCCAACATCCCTCCTATCTGAAGAATGAGTGGCCGAACCTGGTTGGACCGTCTCATCCAATGACCCCTTCTTATGAAAATGTAAACATGTTGTGTTCTTTTCTTTAAACCCTTGTACTAGATCGTTGCAGTTGTTATACTTGTACATATAATAACAAACAACTAAAATAATGAGAAACCACGACGATATGGTAGTTTCACCTGATAGCTTGTTAATTGTGTGACTATATATTGATGAAAGGGCTTCTCTTGTCGATATCACCCAGACAGTTTGTTGTGATTGCTGCTCTGTCTGTTGGTTCTTCGGATTATTAAAACTATTTTTTCAGATAAGCTTGCCCTTGTTTTAGTGGGATATATATATATCTAGCAGGAGGGCTGTTTCGTAAAGTTTATCCATGTTGCTACTCGATTGTACTGGGCTGGGTTGTTTACCAACAATCAGTAAAATATCGTAACCCCTAAAATAAGGTAAAATATTGTAACCCAATGTGTTTCTAGAGTTGGAATACAACGACTCGCAAAAAAAAAAAAATTGGTATGCAACACGCGACTCTGAACCCTTTTTGATTTCTGGGCCCATTGCGGCCCGCTCTTCCAGGCTTAAATATTGTGCAGATGGCTCCACGATCTGAGTGTTCTTATTTACCGATCTGAAAACAACACGTCTCTTCTGTCCTGTCAAAAAAACCTACGGATGTCTCTGCCGCCGACGATGTTGACGCTTTTACCAGACGACGTGATCTCTGAAATACTCTCATGGACGCCGGTGAAGTCCGTCTGCAGATTCCGGTGCTTGTCCCGGGGGTGGCTCGCCCTCGTCTCCAGCCAGGCGTTCCTCGCCGCGCACAAGTCCCAAGTCGACCTGCACCTCCTCCTTGCCACCAGCTCCTCGGGCAAGGAAGCCAGCAACATTGGCCGCGACCTGCGGCTGTTTGACGAGGAAGGCAATGTCGTGAGAGTGATCAGGAATGTTGGTGCCCTTTGGACGGTCTGCCATGGCGTTGACGGTCCGGTCTGCGTCACCCGCGATTTTCGTGGTCGTCGCGACGTTTTCGGTGTCAATGTGATCAATCCGGCTACCGGGAGTGTGCTAATAACGGTGACCGTTGAGTTGGAGAGCCAAGAGATCTTCCTCTTCAACATCGGTTGTGCCGCCCCGTCTGGCGTGTACAAGGTTGTCCGCTTCGACGACGAGTCTTGGAAGGTTCTCACTTTGGGAGATGATGCCGAGTGGAGTGAATTGCGGTCTCCCGCAACCACACTGTCAAATTACTTCTATCGGAGCTTCGTGGTCACGGTCAATGGTGTCATGCACTTTCTTTACACGTCACGGAGATTGCCGTTTTATAAGGACCTTATACTTCGCCTTGATCTCAAGAGGGAAGAATGGAAGGCATCCCTTGAAGGCCCAACAAAACAAGGTGACCAGTTTCAAAAGCGGCTAACGACGGAATGTATAGTGAGGCTCAATGACACCATCTGCTTGGTTCAGTTGGAGGAACATTTTGTTACCAACAATAGATGCACGAACCTATGGCTTCTGACTGACTTCGACAAAGGCACCTGGGTCAAAGCATACACGGTCTCCATGAGTCCGACCACCGTTTTATATCGGCCTTTGAGGGTGATGCACGATGGTGGAAAGTTGTTATTCTATGGCTACCATAGCCCCACGAAAACCCGGATGCTACAGGTTTACGATCCCCTTACTGCTACAAGCGCACACTTCATGAAGTTTCCGAGAGATTTTCATAGCGATGTTTGTCTTTGCGACTTGAACTTAGAGTGCTTTGTCTGATGTAAGATAATGTTGTGTTTGGCATTTGAACCGAGCTTGTGTAGCCTTGTCTTTAAAAGTTCTGTTCTTTAGAGACGCGGAGAATAGAGCTAGAGACGACCCCTTCAGACGAATATCACTTTGTTTTATCTGATATATATCTTGTTGCTCATGCTTTATTTTAGTTTTATCAATCCACTGCAATGTTTTTTGACAATAAACAATGTTAATTGTGTGATTATGTTAAGCTTTCAGCCTGTTACACGCTTGGCTACTGCATGTTGTTCGGTAGCCGTGATGTCCACCAAGACAGTTTGATGTCCTGCTGATCGTGTCTGACAGTCGGTTCTTGGGTTCCTTGAACTATTATGAATGTAGCCGTGCTGCCCAGCAGCTTTGCCCTGCTTAATCGTGTTATTTAGCATGAGTACAGTTCCATCACAGTGTATTTGGACCGGTTTGCTTACCGTGAGTATAAAGAGATTGTTCCGGTCACCATCTTTGTTTCAGTTTCTCCGTGGTAAATTAAATCACCCAATGGGTTCCAGACTTCTTTTTTAGGAACAAGGATTCCGGACTTGGTATAATACACGGCTTGGATTCTGAATCCTTTTCGTGGTCCGGCTCTCTAATGGTAAATACCGAGCAGATTTTTTTTTCTTTGGCTTCCAGACTTGGTATACAACGCGGCGCTGCGGCAGCTTTAAATCCGAATCCTTTCCGATGTCTATGGTCATCGTGGCCTCGTCTCCAAGCTTAAATATCGAGCAGCTGGCTACACGATGGCTACACGAGGCATCGACCAATCCCAGAGCAATACTTTTTGTTCTCGCCCGCCCTCTCAAAAACCTACAGCCGTTTCTGCCATGGCGTCGCCAGCGATGCTGCCGTCGTTACCCGACGACTTGATCTCCGAAATACTCTCATGGGTGCCGGCGAAGTCCGCGTGCAGATTCTGCTGCGTGTCCAGGGGGTGGCATGCCCTCATCTCGGGCCCGGCGTTCGTCGCCATGCACAGGTCCCGCACCGACCCGCAGCTTCTCCTCCTCGCCGTCAGCTACCACCGCAAGGAAGGCGGTGGCATAAGTGGCGACCTACAGTTGGTGGACGTGGATGGTGAAGTCATGGGAGTGAACAAGAGCGTAGGCGTCTTTTGGACCATCTGTTACGGTCGTGACGACGCCCCAGACTGTGTCACCTTCGATTTCCGCGAGCCCTCGGACTTTTTTGTGGCCAAAGTGATCAATCCGGTGACCGGAAGTGTGCTCATGGCAACCACAGAGTTGGATGATGGAGCATCCTCCGAAGTCTACATCGGGGCCTTCAAGGTCGGTTGTGCGGCCCCGTCTGGCGCGTACAAGGTAGTACGCCTCAGGGGCAACAATCCTCACCAGCCTTGGAAGGTTCTCACCTTAGGAGATGGTGCCAAGTGGAGGCAGGTGGGGTTTCCGGCAGCCACGCAGTCTACCAGATATGACCAGGGTTCTGTGGTCACAATCAACGGTGTCATGCACTTTCTTTACACATCGGTAACATCGTGCGAGGACTATATATTCCGCCTTGATCTCGAGAGTGAGAAATGGATGGCAAAGCTCAAAGGCCCAACAAGTGGCGAGTTACAAACGGATGTGTTGATAAAATATCTTGTCCGGTTCAATAATGACACCCTCTGCTTGGTTCAGTCGGAGGAACACTTGAACAACAATGTGTGCACGAACATATGGCTCCTTTCTGATCACGCTAAAGGCACCTGGGTAAAGGCGTACACGGTCTCAGCAGACTCTCGTTTGCTAATACCTTTGAGGACGATGCGTGATAGTCCAAAGATGCTTTTGTATGGCTTCTCTAGTTGCAAGGCAACGTCGGCGCTACAAGTGTACGATCCGCTCACCGGTACATGCACAGACCTCGTGAAGTTTGAACACAAAATTTATATTGACGTTCTTTTTTGCGACTTGGAGTGCTTCGTCTCACGTAAGAGTTCGCTAGTTGGCTGCCGACTGAATCCATACTCTTTTTCTATGAGTAATTTTTTGAGAGACCTTGTAGGGATGTTTCACATTATGTGAACCGAGCTTGTGTGCATTGTCTTAAAACTTATGTTTGTCATGGGGCTTGGAAGAAGGTGAAGAGTGAAGATGCGAAGAGTAGAGCCGGGGGCCTTCATATCACCTATTTGAAATACGGCTTTCTTTACCAACCCGTCCGTCCTTCTCTCTTCTAAAAGAGTTTTCTTTTCTTTTTCTTTTTTTTTGTTGAATTTTTTTTCAATCTATTCATCTTCAATCATTCTGCTTCTGCACGACAAGGTGTGCTGCTGTTCCCTTCTTCACTTAACAAGAAACAACTTAAGACAAAATTATTTCTCTCTTTGTCTCTCATTCCAGCAAGAGAAGAGAAAATTAGCTCTCTCTCTCTCTCTCTCTCCCTCTCTCTCTCTCTCTTGGCTAGCCTAGCCCACCGGTGCACCACAAAGCCTGAGGCTCCTCCTCTTGTACATGCCTGACCTCACCTCCGGTAAGACAAACACGGGAGCTTCCGTAGCCGGCTCCCTTGACGTGGAGAATGCCGTTGAGCCGACCTATCATAGGCCGAAGCCAGCGGATACATGCAGCAAGAGAGCATCTGGTCCAAGGCGTGGCTGATTTCCACATAACATATGCAAATTTGTGTTCCATCCTCACAAAATATCATGGTCTCGCAACCAAGACCCTAGCATTTTGTAGCCAGGACCCCAGAGTTTTAGTTTCATTACAAACAAGGACAAAATTTTGACAAGTCGTGGGAATTTTCGTTAGAATTTTCGGCAGCATAACGCCTAGGAAAGAAATGGATGCATAGCCCTCAAAGTCTCATTTATGGCACCATACCTCTCCCATATATATAGACCAGCAATTGGTACTAGTACTGGTGCTTTCACTGGACGTTCGCTAGCTTGTTGGTTCATAGCCGCAAATCAGGTTATATATGTGTGTTCGAGAATGAGAAAAATAAGTTTATTTATTACAAGTGTGTTGGTTCATAGCAGAAGTAAGATCATATATGCCACCCATGGGAGCAAAGCATCATGTAACAAAAATTAAGAATATACACTTATCTTACGATATATGCATGACTGAAGTGACCATGTGCTCTATACCAGAAGTTCATAGACATGTTTTTACAATAATAATTCTTAATTGCTGGGCGAAAATAATGATAAACATTACTAGCTAGTGAGAAAGAAGCTAGACATAAAACTACATATGTTTGCTTCATGACAGTGCACAAAAAAGTGGCCTTTGCTGCTACATACACCCAGCCCACACTTGGCTACGTAGAGATAAGCAGCATAAAAAAGTGTGATAGATGTTTTGTATGGGATGCATTCTAGTGGGAGGTGTGTAAGAGGGGCACAAGCTGGTTTAGTTTCAGCTATAAGCATGTGCATTGATTATGATGCAAGAACTAGTGGATATCACTGAAAGCAGCGTGGAGTTCATGCCCTATTGGCTAGATTAAACATATTACTGAATATAATTCAACAATCAATCAATGCATCTACGTCTCCATGTGATAGTGCTACCAAGGTATTTGCCAGATACAAGATTTGCTACTGGACTGGACTAGTTTACTTGCATTTGAACCTCCAATCACATATCTGTGTCCAATAGATGAGCTGTGTAGAATGAAACGATCTGTAGGTTGATTACCTTGTTATATTCGGTTGTTACACCGACTTAACTACGCACCCATGTTTCTCTACAGTGCATTCAGTCTTCACTCCTTACTGAATCCTCTCTTCCCGGTTTACCCTCCTACACAAAGTGAAGATGAGATCCATGAACTCATCTGCAATTTGATATGATAGAGAAAAGATGTCATCTTACAGAGTGCTAGACAGGAGCCACAACAAGTATGGCCGGGACATCAAAGACACGGCATGGTCACGTGACTAGACAAGATCTTGGTGCTGCTCACCACAACGAGCATATCTCACCATAGTATGAGGAGAAAGGAGGGAGGGGATGAGGTGGTGGAGCCTAGTAGTCGACAAACAGAGGAAGAAGCGACTTGTGAGGCGTGAGCCGAACGACGGATTGAGAGGCAATAGGAAAGTGCTGGACATTTATAGACACAAGACCATGTACCGCTTGGCTCGCAGGGAGCATGGAGAGACGTCGGATGGGAGGGTGATCCGCGTGATGTGACCGGGAGGTGGCGACAGCCAATGGATCGAACGGGGTAATGGAGGAGGAGGAGGTGAGATAGCATGCAACAATCAAAGGAGGGAGGCGTCCGTTTAAGGAGTTCCTGATATAGAGGAGGAGGACGAGAGAAATAAAAGGAATGGGACGGATTCTGTTGCTGCAATTGGATTCTCTCCCTCTCTATATTTGTTAAGTTTCCTAAAATTACTCACTAGTGCTCCCTCCCTCATAAAACGTCAGGTAGTTAGTTTCAATGTGCGGGATGATTTTGTTCTATCTAATTGGTAATTTATTTCCTCTGAATCACGTCAGAGGTCAGACCAGATCAAGATATAGATTTACTATATATACTAGTAGAGAAGAAAACAAAGGTAATCAAGGAAAAGAACTTGTGCATAGTAGTAGTCTAACAGAAAGATGCACAGATTCAGATATGTGCTCCAAATCAGAAATAGGACTGAGTTGTGACATAGATGGACAATGAGAAGAACCTAGATATCTATATCACACCTAATGACTACAAATGTACATAGCTTAACATAGTCAAGCTGAAACCATCAAAGTCTCACCATCAAGACTGATTCGAAGTAGCAATTCTCATGAACTAATAATTTAGATAGGGAACATAGATTATCTTGAGCTTCTTCCTTCCTTGTCAATGGAGGTTGTCGACACTATCTACCATGTATCTTTGTATGTATGTCAAGGAGAACAACAAGAAGAGAAAAGGCGACTGCTTGCTGCTCCAAACCAAACCTAGTCTGCGACATGAACGACGACGACAATGATTCTGCCGCCACCAATAGATGTCCAACGTCAAAACAAAGTTTA